GGCCGCGGGCGAACCTGGCGGGGCTGGGGCCGCGGGGAACGGGCCCGGGCCCCGGAGCAAGCAAACGTGCCCTCTCAAGCCCCGGAGCCCTCCGCCCCCGGGGGAGGAGTAACTCGTCATGCCAGGAACATACTTTTTTCCGTTGGCGAACGAGGTCTGTGCTTGCCCAGGAAGTGGGGTAGCAGAGGTTCCAGCGCGCGGGTGAAGCCCGGCGCGTGTTGGGACTTCCTCGCTTTTTCCGTTGGTTATTTCTGATGAGGGGATGATGGTAACTTGTGCTGTGGGTGAGTTACTGTTTCACCTCGCTCCGAGCTCGCTGGGTGGCAGCTGGGTTGCCGGAGCTGGGCTGCTCTGCTCCCGGGAGAGCACCCGAGAGCTGTGGTTCTCCTACAACATCTGCTGGATAAGAATTTGTGCTGCTTGTGCCTGTAGAAAGGTTGATTGCTGCCATAGCTTCCTTGAGTAACTATTCCTAACAGGTATGACTGTGCTTTTGTGTTGGGATTATTTTTTTTCTAATTGTAACTCCATTGGAACAACTTCATGATGACCACACGGGCTAAATTTAGCCCTGGCATGAGCAGGCACAGATGCTCCAACTTCACTGGTGTTTTATGGAGCCTGGCCCGCACTGAAGGATCACAGGAGACAGTTGGTGCTTGTCAGAACAGCCACGGTGCTGCTTTAGCACATGTGAATCCACTTAAGTCAGAGCCAAATGCAACGGTTCTTCTGAGGAATTTAAATTAATTTACAAAGAATAGCAAATGGAGTAAGAGTCCCTAAAACTCATGACAAAGAGCTATTATAGCCATTTTATAGGCAGCAAAACTGAAGCAGAAAGTGGTTAAGTGGCACCTCCTTCCAAAGCAAGGGGAAAGGTCCCAGTAGAACTGAAGCCTCCAGATTTCAAACCCTGTGTATCTGCTCGGATTCCTCCCCTGGTTTGTGTGGAGTACCCTGAAGGTCTGCTGGAGGACTGAGGGTCCTTTTAGCCCTGTAGTCTCTCTCTGATCAGCAGAGGAGTTAATATGAATTTCCAGAGTTCAAGTTTGACATCTCCTGCAGCTGGTAACCTGTGGAAGCTCTACCAGTAGCAGTAGCTCTTCAGTGACAGAACACAAGTCTGGCCACTTCCATAGTCCACTCCTACTGTAGACAGGCCCTTGGCACCTTGCTTTTGGTCACTGCTGGGTGGCACTAATGGTCTGGATGGACCATGAACTTGACCAAGAAGGGTATTTTTCTTAATGTCCTTTTTCTGTGATAAGGTGTGGTTTTTATCAGGTCAAATGTCAGGATACTTCATGATGAAGTATACTCTGCTCTCCTCTTCTACCAGTTTTAACACAAATGAAACTGAAAAGCCACAGCTCTAGAACTCTTCTTGGGATTTTCAACCAGGTGTCTGTAGTCATGGGTTTGAGACTACTTTACTGTCTTTAGTTCTCATTCAGCTTTCTGTCCCAACCTTGTTTTAAGCATCCATTTACAAGGCAGCTTTAAAAGACTTAAGAGTATTGAAAACAATGTACTGGTTTTGTCACAGCAGGATCCCAGTCCCTCTGGAGGAAATTCTTGGTGTTCTGCCTCAGTGTATTCATTCAAGAACTCAGTTTCTGGATCATAAAGCAGTGCTCTGCTGCTGTTATTGGTGAAACCCCAGTACAGCACTTACTGAGAAATGCTTATTTTTTTAAGACATCAGCTTGAAGATGCAAAACAGTTACAGGAAAATCTGGCCCTTAGTGAGGGTGGTAAATGTATTTTGTATTAACATTCAACAGCCCTATTAAAAGTACATAAAGTGAGCATCGCTGGATTTGTTTTTCTACTGCAAATAGTTACATGCAGCAAGTAGAGAGATTCTTTTAATCTCAATTTAAGTTGAATATCTGATACTAAATATTTAAACCAAATAGAGTGTTTTTTTAAAGGTTTTTAGTGTTTTAGAATTATAATTGTAAATAGATCATAAGTCATCACTAAATTGTCTTTAATTGGTATCATTAGAACTGCCAAGGAGTATTACTGTTTGGTAGTAGAGTAAATATTACAAGTGTGAATTTATATACCATCTGCATTATTCTAAAACTGCTAAGTGAAAACTGCAATTTAAAAACTTTAAACAACTTGTCAGAGAGAATTTAAGGAGAAAAGTTTGTCTTTTTTTGAGATGGCAAAGTGAGATAAGAAAACTGGAATTTATATATGTGAAACAGACCAAAAATAAATCGACAAGTAGTATGCAAAGTTACTGCAAATGCAGTACACATTCCCTGTAATGGGGTGCATGTCTGGACTTTTTCTTCCCTGAGGATGAGAATGGAGCAAAGATCCCCAGAAGCTGACTGTTGTAAGCAACTGCACTTTAGTCCTTCTCTATTTCAAGAACTCTGATTTGCTGGGGCTTCAATATATCAACAGTACTTCAATAAATCATACCTTGCATTTTCTTTCTGGCATGGCAGCATGAGATACGTGGCTATTTTTGTTTTGATATCATAACACTACATTGAAAATAAGGTAAAATAAGGGATCGTTTGGACAGGGTTGTTAGTAGCCTGAGGCTACTAAGTCTCTTTAAAGTGGCTATTACCACTTCAGTGCCCATCTGTGCTTTTCCTTCTTTGTGTTTCATGAGACTAGTAAATTTTCACTTTCACATAATGGAGCAAATCAGCATCAGAAAACAAACAAGAACAAGAGAAGATTGAGGTGAAGAGAAAGCAGTGTGGGAAGAAGCACTGGGGGAGAAATTATCTGAAAAAAGAATGAGATACAACAATAAGCCTGCACACTGAGGGTATGATTTCTATGACCTGGAGCAAAAGAAATACTCTAAGCTACATCTCAGTAAGAAATCACCCATTAGTGGGTGCAGTAGCTGCCCTCTATTTGTGATAAATTAAACAACTGAGTTCTGCTGGGATAGCAGAAACAGCAGAGGTACAACCCAACCTTCCCCTTTTACACCTTTCCCCCATTCACTCCTTCTCAAGCAGATGCAAGGAAGGATGAAGAAAACAACTTGCATAGTTCATACATCCAGCAATGAGAAAGAGCTCTTGGGGCTGAAATTGGCAGTGAGGGTCTTGAAATGGGATCAAAGGCATTGCCTTCTACTGACTGATGGTTCTGTTCAGAGGAACAAACACCTTCCTAGAGGTGTTCGAAGCCAGGCTGGATGAGGCATGTGCAGCCTGGTCTAATGGGAGGTGTCCCTACTCATAGCAGAACACAGCCAAACAACAACACTCTTCAAACAATAAAAAGGGTTTGTATCAAAGAATCGTCACTTCAGAACCTGTCTCCACAACTAGTACAGTCCGCAAGACCTAATTCTGCTTCCCTGGTTGTTCTTTTCAAACCTACACACTGCTGTATTTCCTAGTGTGACAAATTAGGTTTGGCTGAGAGCTGGGTACTTAACTGTTTTGCCTTTGAATTAACCCGAGGAGTAGCAGAGTTTGAACTGGCTTTGTGTGAATACTTCCTGCTTGTTTTTTGGGTACAGACAATACCTGATCAGTTACTCCCCTACTGTTAAGCTCTGAACTAGATTTTTAGTGCCATTTGTTTGAGAGTGAGGGGTTTTTTGTTCTACTAATTGAAAAGTTAGACTCACTGAGGCTCAGAGGTTTGGGTTAAATGGAAAAATTAATAAAAATAATCAAGATACTGCCCAAAAGGGCAATGATGGGAAAGCCCATTACATCTGCAGCATTATTTAAAAGGATGCCTCTTTAGGCTCATCATTAGTCTGGTGTAGCTTGTTTCTGAAAGGTTTTAGTGACAGAAGCACCCTGTTGCCCTACTGTAGGTGGTTATTTTGAAGTTCAAATGCAAAAAAAACCCCAAGAAGTAATGAGTTGACTGAAGTCTGTTTATCTGCAGAGTTACTTATGATACTCTCAATTTCATACTCAGAATATACCACAAGCATTTATTTTACTCTTGCCAAAGCTGTGTGAGGCAGAACTGCTGGTGTCATTTTTAGACAGGGACAATTTCAGGTGTAAGATTTAGATGACTTGCTAAGTCATGCTGGGGATTTATGGCAGAATAAAGAAGGGAACCCAAGTTCCTAGACTGCTAAACAGGGTTTCATCCATACTTGGGATGTACTTTGGGGATGCCTTGCTACTGTAGACATCTTCTTTTTGTTAGAGATTTGTGATTTTAAAACATCAGGTGTTCACACATTCACTAAAATTGAAGGAAAGAAAGGTCACCACAACTTCTCAGTGTTGAGAACACAGTGTCTGTGTAGCCAACCAGTTGCTCAGAAGTTTTATGAGGGTTCAAGTCCTTGCATGGATTCCATGTGTTACCTCAAGCTGTGTGACTCCTCCAGCTATTGCTTCTCCAATGCCACTTGTAAAGGGCTTATGCAGCTTCTCTAATTCCTCACCTCCTCTTCCCTGTCTGCCCCCCCAAAAAAGTCCTGCAAATGCTGGCTCCTTTTTGCTTTGCAAACCGTATTTTCAGTTTAGGCAGAAAACATGTTGCCTCATTTCTGAAGTTCTGTTACACCTAGAGAGACAACACATCATAAAAATAATCCCTTGCCATTAAAATAATAGATCTATTATGCTTTGTAGGATTAAGAGTTGGGGGGTCCTTATTAAATACCAAAGGTATCATTTCTTGCAGTGTACCAGTATTGCCTATCCCGTGTTTATTCCTACGTTGATAATAATAAGACAAAGATGTTAGTTAAGTGTAACCAAAATGGGAAGGAGCCCAGGGAAGGCCTGCCTTGTTGCAGATGTCAGTGAGCTCCTGCCACAGGGGCATAAGGACACCATGCTGGGAGGCTTTGAGTGGCAAGCAAGTGCTGGCAGAGGGCCAGGAGCCATGGCACACTGAAAGAGGCATCTGTGAAAGGCTCAGGATCCCAATTCCTGGCTGTCATGGTGCTCCAAACTCAGTCAGCAAGGTGACTGGCAGCATCTCTCTCTTTTTAGCCTCAGTAGCCTGAGTTCCTGCAATACCAAAGGTATCATTTCTTGCAGTGTACCAGTATTGCCTATCCCGTGTTTATTCCTACGTTGATAATAATAAGACAAAGATGTTAGTTAAGTGTAACCAAAATGGGAAGGAGCCCAGGGAAGGCCTGCCTTGTTGCAGATGTCAGTGAGCTCCTGCCACAGGGGCATAAGGACACCATGCTGGGAGGCTTTGAGTGGCAAGCAAGTGCTGGCAGAGGGCCAGGAGCCATGGCACACTGAAAGAGGCATCTGTGAAAGGCTCAGGATCCCAATTCCTGGCTGTCATGGTGCTCCAAACTCAGTCAGCAAGGTGACTGGCAGCATCTCTCTCTTTTTAGACTCAGTAGCCTGAGTTCCGCTGAGTTGGTACCACCATGCCCACAATCTAATCTCAGAAATAAAAATACAATCTAGTATGGCACTTTTAAAAAGCAGCTGACTCTTTGCAGCATGGAAG